TTACTGGCAAAAGAAAACAATTTGGAGAGGAAAGTGCACTGGACATCTTTTTTGTTTGTTTGGGGTTTTGGGTGGTTGTTTCTTTCCCCTTCCCAGGCCCGCTACCTTCAGGGTCGGACTATGCTGTCACAGTTGAGCTAACCTGACCTGACCAGGCAGGAGCCGGATCAGTGCAGAACGCGCTCCCAGCGGCTCCGTGCCGTGCCCAGCGCCCAGGGCGGCGCGCGGGCAGAGCACGTGCTGCCCAGGGTCTCGCAGGTGTTGGAGCGCGTCGGGCCCCGTCTCGGGTCCCAGCCTAGTCCGCCTGACCAGAGACAGCGATTGTATCCGGTGCCCCTCCACATCCCACTCATCCATCCACCCACTGCGACCCCGGGAGACTGGGAAGATGGGGGGGTTCATCGTCGTTATGTTTATCCCACATCCTTACCCAGGTTCACAAAGCTCATAACCATGTCCGCATCATTGAGGAAGGCACTGTCCTGCGCGCTGGTCAAAGGGTAAGCGCCGCCGCCTCCAGGTCCCGGAGCCAGCAGATTCTTGCCGGTGAAGGGGTGTGCGGCACTTGGGGGCTGCTGCGGGGGCTGCGGTGAAGTGCCCGCTCCCAGGGGTCGAGGTCGCCGCCGCTCCTCCAGCGACGCCCCCTCGTCGTCGTCCGCGGCGGACAAGGCATTGTACAGATCCAGCATGAAGAGGGGTGCGGACTTCAGTCTCCCTGGTGGGGTATCTCCACGAAGCTGCTGCTGGGGCGCCGGGGGCTGGGGGAGGCCATGTAGGGGCCGGGGCCGATGCGGGAGCCCCAGCACCGAGAGGATCTCCTTCTGCATTTCTCTCTTCTCGTGCGTCTTGAGGCGCCGGTAGAGGAAGCCGGAGGACGAAGACGACAACTGCTCTGCGCGTCCGGGACTCCGACCGCCACTGTCCCCCAGCAGCGCGCCCCCGGCGGCAGCGGCGGCGGGCGGGAGGGGCCGCAGCGGCGGGGGCAAGCAACAGCTGCACAGCAGCGCCCACCACCAGCACCGCCACTGCGCCCTCCGCCCCAGCATCCCCGCCCGGCCGGGCTGCCCCCGCGGGCCTCCGGAGACACTGACCCGCGAGGCGTGGAGCGGCGGAGCGAGGCAGTAGTGTGCGGCCGCCGTGGTCCTTGGCGTGACCAGTCCCCGCCACCCCTCTTGGGGGGCTTGCTTCCCGTACTGGCCCTCAGTCCTTCTCTCTCATGGCCGTCCGGGGCGCCCCCGGTAGCCCAAGTTGCAGAGGGGGCAGAAGGGGAGCTTGGAAGGGAAGGAAGGGAGTGAGCAGTACTCCGCTGAGGGCTCTTAGAAGGACAAGTTCCAGGCAAGTTGCGTCGGGGTAGGGGCTGCTTTAGCTGGTAGCGGGTACAGCCACCCTAAGGCCTCGCTGCCCAGCGCACGTGCGCTCCCCGCGCCCTCAGACAGGGGTCCCGGCACAGGGCCACTCACAAGCTAGGGTGACTGCCCAGCATCCCCATGGTGGCTAGGGGCCCCCATGAAGTTCACCCCGCCGCCTGGCTCGGGATACGGAGAAAGGTGTCCAGAAATGCCAATTTTTCCCTCAAAAGGCTGAACTTCGTTCTCAGTCACAAACTGCGCTCCCCTCCGCCCTCAAGCACTGTCGCTCCCTGCTAAATTCTCCGGGCGCCGCTCCACTCGCCCAGCCGGGACAGCGAGGATCTTGCTTTCTGTTCAGTTCTCACCCCGCAGCCCTGCAAACCTCGCACCCAAAGGGGTGGCGAGGAAGGGCCTGCGACTGGGCTGTGCGCGAAGCAGTGGCCGTGGCGTCCGCGCTGGATTCGCAGCCTCCAGCCTCTCTGTTCAAAGCTCCCCACAGCGGCTAACGTGAGCTTTCTGATGAGCGTCTAGCTCAGGTACCGCACTCAAGCTACCGAGACGCCCCGCCTTCCTTGTTAACCGACAGGGCTCTCCGCCAATGGAAAAGCGTGTCTACACTTCTAGTTGAATAGGTCCGTCCCCTTCTTTCACTCTGCCTAAGCGAGGGGCGTTGCCTATGCCGCGCGTAGGTTTCTAATACAGAAGGCTCAGAGGATTTACCAAATTCAATAACATCTCATTTGAGTTATCTGACCAGAGTCAATAACCTCCTTCTTTTGTGATCACTTAGAAGAACAAAATTGTCGCTTTAACAAAAAAGCAGAAATGACAATTAAGCCAATATTGCTTGAATTAGTTAAGAAAGAAAAGAAGATAGCTTTGTGATTCCTTCCTTGGTTTCTCTTATTGATTTAAAATAGGCGTTTAGAGGACAAGACTCCTGGGCACACCCTCTGAAGAAACCGCCCACAACCCCACCGCAGAGAGCACTAAATGTCCACCAGACCTACTGTCCTGAGGCCTTGGGGGCTGGTGTTTTGTTCTCTTCATTTGGGCTTTGGCTTGGCAGCTTAAGCCAGCTCCTAAAAGACAAAGGGTATAATCAGGCAATGTTGTTGTTGTTGTTATGTGCTGTGGAGTTGGTTCGGACTCATAGCAACCCTGTACTGAGTTTCCGAGGCTGTAAATCCTTACGGGAGCAGAAAGCCTCATCTTTCTCCAGTGGAACAGCTGGTAGTTTCGAACTGCTGACCCTGAGGTTCGCAGCCCGATTCGTAACCACTACGCTATATATGGTAATACAATACCATATATACGCTACCATATATGCGTCCCTCCCACCTCCTGCCTTCTTGGGAATGCTTTAATGCATTCTGATATTGAAACACAATTATCATTTGCATGATACAAGAGAAAACATAAGGAGAGGTGATAAAGATAATTTCAGTAAGAGTAGGAGATGGTCAGGTTCCCTTTCAGGATAGTAAACACGGCCTTGAAACGTGGTTGGTATGAGTATTAGACAAGATTAAGCGTGTAGCACACAAGTTACTTTCCTAGCAAGCACGTTTCTTTTTCAGATACACTGCACCCTCTACCCAAAAAGCATCAGCAGAACGTTTGCCAATTTTGTTTTTGTTAAATGCTGTGGAGTCTGTTCCAACTCATAGCAATCCTTTGTAGCGTTTCCGAGGATCAGCTGGTGTTTGAACTGCTGACCTTGTGGTTTGCAGTCCAGTGCTGATCCTACAGCACCACACCAGAAGTTCAATGTTGTTGTTATGTGCCATGGAGTTGGTTCCGACTCATAGCGACCCTGTACAGGGTTTCCAAGGCTGTAAATCTTTACGGGAACAGAAAGCCTCATCTTTCTCCCGCGGAACGGCTGGTAGTTTCGAACTGTTGATCTTGCGGTTCACAGCCCGATTCGTAACCACTACGCTACCAGAGCTCCTTAGAAGTTCAATTAGGAATACAAATTCACTAGCATTACTATGCTGTACACTAGCCAATCATCTATGGCTCTTAGAAACAAATTCACTTAAAGCACTACGATCTTTTACTGACTGAAAAGTGCATGTGAGTTAGAATACCTAAGGCCTGTCAGTCTTAATTCACATTGTCCAAGAAATTTGGGAGCAAGGAAGAAAATAAAGATGATATGATTCATGGATATATACAGTCATGAGGTTTCTGTTGATCCAAATCAATCGGATAAGCATTCCTACCTTATCTCAAAGAATCTGTTTGCACTCCCATCATTCCCTGGGATCCTTTCTCTAGTCCTGTCTTGTCCCAGACACCTGATCATTTAGGACACTCTTTAATTCTACCAGTGCTCAATAACCATTGATCTCAGCAACACTGAAAGGCAATTTTAACCATCTACAGAATTCTTTCTATCTGAAAATTGCTCTTTGGTCTGAAATGCTAGGACCCTTAGAATTCAAGAGTCCCCATTCCTTCCTCTACATAGGACTTACTGAAGAGATGCCAATGTCACCAACAACTCTGATCAGAAAATCAGCAATACAAACAGGTATATTTAGGCTTCTGGACACAGGTTAGTGGTTCAAATCTACCTGGTGCTTCATGGGAGAAAGATGAAACTGATTGTTCTCACAAAGATTCATGGTCTTAGAAACCTTTTGGAGCAGTTCTGCTCTCTTATAGAGTCGCTATGAGTTAGAATCAATCAATGGCAGTGGGTGGGTTGGTTGGTTGGTTGGTTAGACTCAGGCCTCCTCCTTTTTAAAACCTTTTTTGTAAGATTTCTGGTGAGACCCAGCAAAGTAAAAAAGATCCAACCTATAAAGTGTGTGGAAATTAATGAAAACTCATAAAAACATTAAGCATAGACGAGGGCTCCTAGGTAGGGCTATAACATTTAAAACACAAAATCGGATTGTTACCCACCTATTGTATATATATACAGTTGTGAGCATAGATCTAGTGGAGACTACACACACTCACACACCATCTTCCCCTTGTTACTTGGGTTAGAGATTGATGAGCCTGGTTGACATGAATCTAAAATGACACTTAGTGACTATTATAATTAAACATCTGGGCAGCAATCCAGGCTTAGGTTTAGCATGAGTTCCTCATTCAGTAGGAACTGAATGTCATGGTGTTACTTGCTGTAGAAGCAGCTCCGAATCTTGACAACGCCATGTACAAGGGAACTAAACATAGACCAATCCTGTATCATCTTCATAATCATTGGTATGCCTGAGTCGACTGTTATAGCTGCATCGAGAACTTTCCAACCTAGGGAGTCTCATCTTCCAGCACGATATGGGACAATATTCTAGTTCTCCAGGCATTTCTTCTTAATCTTAGTCTGTAAATTCCACCATGTGTGGTGACCTTACTGGTATTTGAAATACCAGTGGTGTCACTGCTAGCATGCAAGCTACTACAGAATGACAAACTGACAGGTAGTGGGGGCTTCAAAATGTTCATGGAAAAATTCCACTAACTTTTAGTTCCATTTCTCCATGAAGTGTTTGAAGTTCCCTTTTATCATGATAGTTTATGGGGGTGCCTCAGGATGATAAATATGAGAACACACACTTCCCGTACGAGCCAGCGAAAGCTCAAAAAAGATAGGAAATGAGATATGAGAATGATCCTAAGGACAATAACATTAACTGTGTAACACAAAAGAGGCTGTGCTTTCTTATGTTCCCATGATTCCCAACATAGGTATATGTTCACAGGAAAACGCACAGCACTTGTATCCACTGGAGTGAAATGGAATAAAGAGATATAGTTCCAAAATTTTAATAACCTCAAAACTGGAACCAGTGTTTCTTCAAACTTTCAGAGTCATTTGATGGATAACAAACAGGTAACCACCACCTCACCCACTCCCAAGTTCTTTGACCCCTCCCTACCAGACACCCCACACTTCCCAAGAAGTCTCAGAAAAGGCAGGGAGACAGAGTGCTGTACCACTTGTGATTCCAAAGCACAGAAGATCAGGAGGAGCAAACAGCCTTTGGAGTCAGCTGGAGTGCTGAGCAGACCAAAGGAAATTAGAGTTCACTTCGCCCCCTGCAGGACACCACAAGATTACTGCCCCTTCCTCTCGGTGCCCTGGACAAGCTTCATGAAGTTTTCTGTATGTGCCTCCAAAACATCTGGGAGAAGAGAGGAGGAATTCGGTCAAAAAGCCAGCCGGGTGTGGGAGCCAGTGCATATGAAACATCTGTTTGTTTGGCTGCCATTTCATGCAAATGGATGTAAGCTTTCTGGAAATAGGTTGCCCACCTCTAGTCCCACTAAATGAGGAAATACAGAACCCTTGCCATAAAGCACAGGCTTTCCCCATGCATTCATTCGGTGATACTGGGGCTGGAGTGGGAGTCATAGTCCTATCTTTATTAAAGACACAAAACTCACATTAAAATCTTATAAATTAGCAGTTAGTCTTGTTCTTAATATGCATATTATGAGGATTTCTGCTATAGCATCTATAACATATGTTGTTGTGGTTACATGCCATCGAGTCAGTCTGACTCACAGCCACCCTGTATAGGGTTTCCGAGGAGATACTGGGTTTGAACCACTGACCTTGTGATTAACAGTCCAGTGCTTATCCTACAGCACCACACTAGGGTCTCTGATAATACATATGTTGTTGTTGTTAAGTGCCATCAAGTCAGTTCCAACCAATAGCAACC